AATTAACCTTATATGATAAAATTAATTATCCAGTTAAATTCGTTGATAACGTCATAAATCATGGAATAGCGTCCTTTAAATTAACATGTAGCACGAATAATATGAAAAATAATGTTTTACATGATAAATCTTACTTGATTCTCCCTCCTCATAAAGCCTTTAGTAAAAAGTTAGGAACATTGTAAAGCACTAAATATGGTTCTGAGGTAATAAAAGTTATGATAATCTTATTAATTTTTGAGTAGTTCTGACAATAATACTTCGCTAAGCTGGGTTTATAAATTGGCGTGTAAATGCGGGAAGTATTACATGTGAGAAACAGAATTCACTGACACTCAGAGAACAAAGACCCAGCTGTCAGTCTGGAGATAGTGGTGATCGCCAGCGAGCATGAATGCGTGGTAACGAAGCAGCGAAAACAAATCTTCGACCAAAGCTACGTCAAGGAACAGTGGCTCACCTCAACGCTTGTACAATGGGCAGTATGGGAAGAACGTAGTTTTGTAGTCATTTCCTTCGTCCAAAAGTTCGATCTCGCAGGCATTTGACTGACGTGGGCTTTCGGAGACGAATTGCTGGGCTCATGCATCTCGGCATTGTCCGGAGTTCAAATATCCGAAAGCATCTTGGTGCCCAGCCTCTAATTTTTCAGATGAAGAAGTCTGCTGCGATTTGAAAAAATTCTAGAAGGAAGTTGAAACAAAGGTTGCTTACCCAACCGACCGATAGAAGACAATGGTGATGGCCAAGAATTATTTGGGGCAAGTATATCGTTGAAGAACTCTGTTCCAAAATCGGGTTGTCTTCTGCTGAAGCTTAAACGCTGGTAAGGAGCGAGAAACTTTAAAGACATTGTCTGGCACATCTGCCTCCTCGACCCAAAATGATAAGCGATCATCGAAACTGACAGAAGCATCCAGCAATGAATGTTTTGTATGATTTTTATTGATTTGAGGAATGTCTCAATTATGATGACTTGTATTATTCACTTTCATCTTGTGATGTATATGATGCGATATATTAGTACCTTATTGCAATCATGTACGATATTCTGGGATAAACAACATTTCCATTTGTGCCTGGAGTTTTTATTTTGCTCGAATAACCAAATTCGCATTACTGCTGTGTCGTTCAAGTCAACGCTGAGATGTGCTGTTGTGCACCCACGTACCTGATAGACTGCCATGGAACTTTTTGTGCTTAAATGCCTCCCCGTCAGCGTCTTCAGCCAACAGTCGTTGTGATTTTGCCGTATACCTGGTGTAATCACTTTAAAGTAATCGCTTTTCTACAGAATTATTGGCGTGTAACAAATATAATTTCTTTTGTCCCTGAGGAAAATTGTTATGGGTATGTTTATTACATTACTTAAGGTGACTAGGGCGATAAAATCAGTAGCATCCATGTCGTTAGTTCACTTCTCTTTTGATACCGGATTGAAACGGCGTAAGCGCCGTCCCCTTGCTTCTAGTCGTCTAGGAGTCCATTTTAGCAGGCCAGGGCTCCATAGTATTTGAGCACATACAGTGCATGGATACAGAACCGCATTACTAGGCAGGAAAGGCCTTTCCGGACACCTGTAAATATGCCACGATCTGTAGGCGTATTTATACGTAAAAATACGCATCTGTGGTATTGCCCTGGTTTCTTTTGACATCGCCAGTTATACGTTCAAGGAAAGAATGAATAATTCAATTAATAACTATCTTTCTTCAGGGGCAGCGACTTTTTGTGTAATTTGAAGAAAAGTTTGGCATCAGTGTTTCCTACACTGTCCCATCTAAGTAGCGTGAATGACATTATTTTCCCGCGGTTTTATGATATCATCCATGAGATTATGCTCTATAGTCGTCGATGAATGCTCATCCTGTTATTTCGCTATAAGTCGTGATTCTTTTTGTGGTTGCTTATCGCTCGCCGTCAAA